AAAAAAACATATCGTGATATGAAAAAATCTCATATCGCCCAGCTCTACAATCATCTATTAACAAACCACAAAGGATCATTTATAATAGCCAAAAAATAATACAGAATATTGGATATTTATCTCAGCATCTGGAAGTAGACACATTCAAACTCCGAGTGGTCTATCAAAGCACTTGGATTCAACCCACCGGCAGGTTAAGCTTGTAGGCATCCACGGGCTCCTGAAAAGGCCAGGCAAAGTGGTGCCTCCAAAGAGACTTCATCAGGGTCTTTTGGAGGTACTGCAGCTGGTTTGTCATGCGGCCTGGTCGGGTAGGATCCTTCACTGGGGGCTGTGGAGGGGCAGGGGGACCCTGGGGCATTGTGTGGGGTAGGGAGGGGCTCTCAAAGTCCTCGTACAGCAGGGAGGGCTTACGAATGCGTTTGCCCGAGCTTGTGTGTTGGTCCATCATACCACCGGACAACCCAACCAGAGAGCTGGAGTGAGGAAGATGTAAAAGCACAGGAGAAGAATTAATGACAATGATTAAAAAAAATAAAAATAAAAATAAATAAATAAATAAAAAAAAGAGACCCTGCATTCACATTACAAGGAAAAGAAGGAAAGACATGCTACCTTAATACCTCATGTGGAAAAAGCTGGCTGGCTGTAAATAAACTTTTAAGGTGGGAGAGGATAAAGAAAAATATAAGAAGACACCCCCCCCCCAATGGTTATCTAGGAAACCAGGATTTCATCTATAGGTTGCAACTTTTAGCACTGCCATGGGAGCCATGACTGTCCTGTAAGAATGCTGTTGATAAGGCAATAAAGTCAATGTCATGAAATATGCAATTCAGCAAGAAACATACAGGCAGTCTGGATAATCTTCAGAAGTTTGGGTTCAGTTTCTTTGATGATGATGATGTCTATGTTCACTGTTGCACTTTATCAAGTTGTAACAGAGAAACTACTAAAAAAATATAAGAGTTGTACTTAGCTAGATAAATCTTATAAACAATAGCCTCAAAGTCAAACAACAGTGACACACTAGATAAGTACTTATAAACATGATTATCTTTTCCAGATAAAATGTTTCCTCTGGTTTTCCCCACACACAAAGGAATAAATGGAAGATACGCCAATCAATGCCTTACACAAGCACTGTGGTCTCCCCTGGAGATGCACCATAATAAACAGGGCAGAGAACAAATTCCCCCATGGGCCTTAAGAGAGTTAATTAAAAAGAAAGCAATCTTTTGGAGATATCAGCATCTCTGCAAGTTATGATCTCCAGTTTGGATGTAGTCCAACAACACCACGTTCCATAAAGAGCACTTTCAATGCACCATGCAATGACAGAGGTCGCCTAGTTCATGTAGTTAAAGGACACAGAAAGTCGGTCCTTTCTCACCTCCATCTGAGCACCACAGCTTAATACACACATGCCCTACTGACACACAAACAATGGCTAAGCCGATGAGCCGGTTTTCTACATCAAACAGAATACAAGCAGCACAAATAACTACTAAACAGCATTAAGGGTGCTGGAATTTGTAGAGTAGTAAACATAAGAACTTTTCTATTTCCAGGCAAATGTTTTAAGCTCTACTTACTTTAGTGTTTTAAAGCATTTAACAATTAAATGAGGAAAAAAAAAACAACAACATCCAAACATACATCCAATAACACACAGAACAAAAACATTCAGGATGCCTGTTTTACTGAAAGCATTTTAAGACTTAACGTGCTTTTCTCCAAATTAGTTCTGAACACAAGATTATGTGAAAGAAAATATAACTAAAGTCGCAACATTTGTGCAAAAACACAAACACCGTTTAATTATCAACTTGGCTCCATGTGACTATTATGGCTTTAGTGTTTGAATCTGCATTTAACCAGCTTCTGTTTTTACTAAACAGAGACAAATTAGCGTAGGCTGAACAACCCGTCGTTATTATTTAGTCAAACTGATCAAAGACTCCTAGTCCACCAGCTGCTGATCGCGTGGTTGGACGCCCCGCCCTCGCTGTTTGTAAACACTACTTCAACGACAGAAGCCAATATCTGACGAGCATAAGGGGTCCAAAAAGACACAAACGCCACATTTTTTTAACGAGCACTGCTCGGAAAAGAATTTTTTTTTAAAATTGATAAAACCCTCGGGCCATCAGGCAATTTCAGCCATTTTGCCACAGTCTCAGGGCGTTTGTTCACCAGCACAGAAGCTGCGAGCTGGAAGCTAAGCTTGCGAGCTAGCGGCGACAGACTGCAACAGCGCTTTATAAATATAACAATACACCTGGGACTGCCAAGTTGCAGTTAAGCAGATGTGTGTGGGGGGGGAGAGGGGAACAGTGGACGGGTTATTTATAACTAGTTTTCTTATATGATATTGTTTTACATTAGCGACAGCAGGTTGCATGAGCAATGAATGACACGACAGACAGACAGACAGCCGGCGGGGAGCACCCGGCTGACCTAGCCGATGGAGATGCAGCTGTCATTTGCCTGCTAATTAGAAGCTAAACGCTAGAGAAAACGGAAATATAGGCTCCACAAAACCAGTGTGCAAACATTAAGATTCAGAGGACTTCAGAAATATGTGCAGAGTTGATAGTCTCCTGTGTAAGCTAGCGTAAGCGGGCTGTATAATAAGACTGGCTGACGAGGTAGCGCTGTTTTGCTACTCGGAGGCTAACGGTAACGTCACCGTAGCAACAATGTGGTTTTTATTATATAATTCCCATCCTCACGCGGACTACAAAGCCCAGCAAATGTCCTCAGTTTGACCCGAAACACTGCGGACATTACCTGTCGTGAGGTGGGTTGACGGCGGCTTCCATTGGGGTGAGGGCGGAGTGTTGTTACGATCCAATTTTTCGCCGCTGTTGACGCTGCACTTCCACAAAACGCTCAGCGACCAACTCCGCAATGAAATGGCGACTAAGCGCTTCCGCTTGACCCTATATAAACCCCTCTCGTGGCAGTGCCGCGTCGTTCCTGTCACGTGGACGATGATTCCGCGCCATAATTGGCTGTAAGCAGGTGTCAGTCAAACAGCACAGTCTGTACATCTTGTACTCTGAAAATATTGCATGTTTTAGATTTTTTATACAGTAATGAGCTATCTGGCGTCGCACTGCGTTAATAATTGCTGTAATTTTCAGGCTAACGCTTCTCTGCCTATATGGATTAGTATGTTTTGTCCTCAAGAGAGTTTGGATTGTCATGCAGGTGATCTCCGTTTTATTAAACCCACTGCGGAATACCTGGGTAGCAACTGTATTTTTTTATTTTTTTGGTGAGATGTTTCCATTTAAAGCGGCACATTCATGAAATAACCCCCCTAGCTGCTTTGTGATTGATGCCCTCAAATAAATGGACATCATTTTTTCCAACTCCGTGACTAACCGCTTTAAAGAAGCTATGTTTAACAGTATCCTGCAGTCTAGATAGATAGAAAGACAGATACATGTGCAGTTTCCCAAAAAATAAAAATAAAATAAGAGGAGGCTGGGATTGTTGACAAGCAGTGGCAACAGGTTTCACTCGTCACTGCTGCACCATAGAGCACATTCTCCAACAGACTGATTCAATGCCACAAGGACAGATACAATAAATCTTTTATGCAACACATCTGTATAGCGATGCATCATCTGTGCTTCAACAGTTTATTTCTACCCTGTACTGTGCGCACGACTTTCATTACAATGTACACTGACTGTAAAGTTTTTACGTAAACGTATTCATTAGTAAGCATTTTAAATTAAGCTTTATTTTTGCTGTGTTAAATAGATATTTAATATATATTTTAAATGGAGATATTTTTCTTTAACATATTGTTATTATTACGTAATATTACTTACATATTTGGGTTCATATTTGTTTTGCCATGTTGCATATAAGCCAAAATAATGGCATTTATATTCTATAATATTTAAGCTATTTTGCCATTTTTGTTGTCTCGAGCTAAATTTTCAAAACTTTTGTAGTAAAAAGGATAGACTGTTTACCTTTCCCTAACCTGGAGAGTTTTAACATATGCAGGATTATGTTAATTGTAACTGGATGGACTTGGTTTGCAGTATGTTAACCATTAAAATTCGCATAGCATCATTACAAAGCTATGATTTGTTCATCTGACTAATAGTTGGTGAAACAAAGCTGTTTTTAAACCTTATTGCTCTGCACTCTCACGCCAGAAACCTCCATCCAGCAGAAAGAAAGTAAACGTCGTTATGCAAAGGGTGCAAAACAAACCAGCTATCAGCTGTAAATGTCTTGTACACAGCACAGGGATGCTGAGTTCAGCTGTGAATCACCGATCAGCTGTTAGACCTTTTAACAATTTGATCACTTCGGTATTTATTGAAACAACTTGAAAATAGCATTGTTTCATCAGCTGTATTTTGTCCTACAATCGAAGCCTTTTATATAAAATCAGTCCAAATTTACCTACAAGTTAACCTTACTGTGTCTAGCTGCTTGAAGTTCTGTTCAGTTGAATGATATGGTGGAAACCTACACTTTATTTTATCCTGTACTTGTTAATGTTACACAGTGTAGTATGCTGTGATGGCTAAAACACAAAACAAGGGTAGATATTTGATGGAAATTCTAATTTGGACTCACTTTGCACTGTTGAAGTGAAATGTGGCATGATGCATTCCTTCACAGTCACACACACAGGCTGTATACCCCTGGATTTATTGTATTTTTTCATAATGAACTGTTCATAGCAAGCTGGTGATAAACAAAAGTATCAAATTAACCGGATCTGTTGCTGGACGAAGTTTTCATCTTAAAATGGCCAGGTGATTTTCACCCCTGTTGCCTTAAAGAAGAAGACCACCCTCATATATTTTCCTATTAAAAACAAAGAGAGTCCTGCTGATTAAAACACAAGTTGCTGTTCAGGTTCACCACAGTGAGATAAAAATCTAAAAAAAACAACCCAATAACTACAGTACTGTGCAAAAGTCTCAGGTCACAACTCATTTCTTCTTTGCTTCCAAGGAGTCAGACATTCTTTAAATTTTTCTAAAGTGGCCTTAAGCAATAGTTCTTCAGGCTTTCTGGTGGAGTTTCAAAGTTTTCTTTGGACACTGGCTGCTTTTTCAGTCCAGACCTACCTGATCATTTTCAGAGGAATATTTTCTTGTTTCTTTGTAAAGCCACTTAGTACTGATCATGGAATCTAAACAACTCTCATATGTTTGAAGTTTTTCAGTCCGGCTTTAGGCCGTTTCATAGCACAGAGACAGCTCTCATAAAGGTTATGAACGATATCCTGGTAGCGACGGACTGTGGTAAACACGTAGTGCTTATACTACTAGATATGACTGCTGCATTTGACACAGTGGATCACGACCT